TGATCCTGCTGTAAGACTTGAATGATTGGCTCAAACCGGTCACTTTGGCAATCGGTCATTCTACGATTTCTCATTCGTCACACGCTGGAGGTCAAAACCGCTTTCGATTTTTTAACTAAAGTAGTCTTTGTGAAAGCTATTAAAGGCCTTGCTGCTGGCAGTGGTACTAGTGGAGTGCTAACATTCTCGCAGAGATGAAAAACCGATTATTTTTCTTAAAAATGCGAGCACTGATCGAAATATGAAAGTTTTAATTTTCAAATTAAGTAAAACAACAAGTGTTGGAGATGTTTTAACAAAGGTTATCAGTCAAATGATTGGTTTACAAAGTTCAAACATAACAAAAGTACGAAAAAAAGTGTACAGCAAACAACTGAACAGAGAAAGTGTCAGTTATTATCACACCAGCAGTCCGTAAACAAGTAAAAACTGGTCCCAGTAATCGTAATCGATGAACCCAAGAAAGTTCAAAACATGCGCAGAAAATGATGCTACAGACAGAAACAGACAACTCTAAAAGTTATGATCGAAATGAACTTTTGTAAGGCCAAATTTTTCGGTGACAACTGACCTTTCAACGACTGCACTGACCAGTCTCCTTGCCTACAGAATACAGTGGCAGCTCACTGCGTTGAAACAGAATAACTAGAAAAAATACCGGAATCATATACCCCTCACTCACCTACCAGAGAGAGTCATTTTAAACAAAGAGAATTTTAACAATTGCCCGAAAATCAGAATTTGGATTTATCTATATCACAGTGTAGGAATATAACACAACATAAAACTTGCGCCCGTGGTAACATGGTCTTGAAAAGAGAAATATTTCAGACAAAAAAAAATCTACAAGAAACTTTTCTAGCATAAAGTAAGGAAAATCATGCAAAAAGTAAATAACGTATCAGCACATTACCAATTCGATAAAAAATATTTTCAAAACATTTAAAAAAAACCAGCCAGAAACCATTGTAATGATAAAATTTATATCACAGTCTACTGTTAAGAAAGGCCAAAAAAACACGCAACAATCACCAAAATCGCCAAAAAAATATTATGAGATTTTGAAAATTTCTAAAAATCCCTCCAAATCAAATTCCACTTAGCTGTACAGCTTCACGTTAGAAACTATACATCTTAAAGCAAAAATTTATCCAACAAAGGACAAATTGAATGTTAACAGGATTTTTTAAAGCTTCCCAAAGCTTCATGCTTCGGCAGTATCAAATCAAAAATACCAGTGCCACCACGCAATAATCCACCAACCACCAGTCTTGATGAGGGCGATGCCAAATAATCATCATCACCTGAAAAAAAAAGATTATTTTTCTAGATCATGAAACTTCATAATTCACAAGTGCTAAATGGACGGGAAAATGATTGCCTGCAGGCATAATAACCATCGAAACAGGATTATATCGGCTCGGACAGGATCTACTTCTCGAAATCTGCGTATTCATAACGAGCTAAAAGGGAAGGCCATTTTGGCTGCTATTACCAGGAGTGAGTTAAGACACATGTAAAACAACACTAAACCGCGTAACTTAAACGTGAATTTTCATAAATTCAACTATTTTTAGGTGCTAAGTCAAAAATCAACGGGTTCTCAAAAACTGCCAAAAAAAAAAAAAATTGAGAAAAGAAAAAATTAAACGCCAGTGGACACTCAAAAACTGCCAAAAATGACCGAACCATCACCAGTCTTCGCATAACTTTAAAAAAAAATTCATAACTAAGCCACCTGTATTATTAGTGATATCAGAACAGTTAATGCAGTAGTAAAAAATCTTAAACATTTTTCAAAAAATCACAAAAAGAGCGCGAATTCTACTATTTTTTTTTCTAAATTCTATTACTTCTACGTATTAATTAAAAAATGATAAAAAACTAAAGCGCCACCAGATACTCAAAAACTGCAAAAAATCACCAAAACATCACCGATCTTTTTTTACAAAACTTTAAAAAAAAACATGATTAATTCTCAAAAACTGCCAAAAGTCACAGAATCATCACCGAATTTCTTCACAAAACATTAAAAAAAGGCATGACTAAGCTACTCGCATTATTAGAAATATGAGAACAGTTAATGAAAAAGAAAAAAATCTTAAAAAAATTTTTCAAAAAAACCACAAACATTAAAAAAAAAAAATGGTAACATACCGTGTATGAGTGAATCACGCATGAATGCTACTGTTGTTTCGAAAGTCATCCGTTGCAATGGTGATGCGCTGAAACCCATTGCGCTACGGCTGAATGGTTGTATTCTTCCCGAAAATGTCATATAATCAGCTGTAAGTGTCAGATGGCGCCGGCTAACATCAATTCCGTATGGCGTAAAAACCCGTACTATCTCCTAAAATCAATAAAATTAAGAGCAAATCTGGGATATCAGGATCCGCTTAATTCATCGTCCAAAGCCATTCCATATATTAAAGGTTAAAAAAGGAAATATCAGGAGAAAAAGGAAACAAGGATGAAGAGGAAAAGGATATTATAATAAGTGAAGGATATAAAGAAATATTTGTTATAGGTAAGAAATGTTTCGGTCCATATATTCCAATTCATGGATCAGTCTGGAGCACCGGAATTTAGCATACGTGAGTTCTTTTTTTAGCACTCAGTTATTGTTTCGTCCATCTGTTATCTGTCATTCTTGCCACAAAACTATCCTTTGATGCACTGAAATTTTTTCTCGTACCCTTTTCTGTGATGGCCAGAAAACCTTTCTGAACGATCTACTTCATAAATTTCAATAGCAAATTGATACTAACAGGGTCCGTAAGGTGTTTTTAAGGTTTTTTTTTTTAATAACTCTTAGAAGAGAAAAACATCAACAGCCCCAGAAGCACATGGTTAATTCTCGAAAAATGCTACCATCCCAGCTAAATAGTGCTTTGCTGGAATTTAAAAGTATGTTTCATTTCTTTTAAGAAATGGAATTTAGAAAGACTTTTAACATTTAATAACTTTTTTCAGATAGTTATTTACTCAGGCATGTCTGCCTTCCAACAAACCTATATACACTTGCAAAAATTCTTAAAAAACATTTGTTTTTTTTTTAAATATCTCAATAATTCTGGTGTGAAAAATATAATAGACGAGATGTGTGCAAGGGAAAGAAGCTGAGCCGGTCACGTAACAAGGATGATTGATAACAGATGAATAAGACGCATTATCGACAGGTACCCATGACATGTAAAAAGGCCAGCAGGAAGGCCACCGATGCGCTGGTCCGATCCGCTAACTCGATTATATGGAGTATTATGGATGAGGCGAGTTCAGGATAGAACTCGGTGGCGTGGTTGTCGGCTCAGCAGTCACTGGAGAAGATCAACAGTGTGTCAGTGACGGAAACGCCGTATCAAGTATCATCAAGTAAGTATCTCAGTGATAATTCATTATCTCAGGATGGACTTCGATCGAGGACCATTGCACTACTGTAGACAGAAACAGGAAGTTTTGAAAACAAAAAAAAAGAAAACTATTTACTGGGTTTTTAGAAATTTCATTACACTTGGCGATGTGGCACATGAAAAGGGGAAGGGGCAACTGGAAGAAGGAAGTGGTGGAAAATAACAAGACTTCACGTGCATCACCACACTTCCCTATGGAATGCACTGGCACTTCGATTTTGTAACAAAGTTTAAATTTTTGTAAATGAA